GAGGCGGCTGAAACGCTTCCACGGTTCCCGCCGCTGCTGCCGCTGTTGTTGGAGACGGCGTTGGCGAGAGAGGGACAGCTGCAGCTCGGCTTGGGCGCTTGGAATGCAGGAACGGCCTGCGCACCGGGACTTTTGCAAACTTGCAGAGCCCGAGGCTGGAGCACCAAGGGTAGCAGCAGCAGAGATGCTCGCTCGGCTCTTCTCACGCCCACCCAGCTGCTCGGGATTAAACCGAAACGCAGCGTGCAGCACTCCCAGGTACCTCAAAATCTTTTTTTTTCCTGTTGTCACGGGGACGGGGGGAAAGCGGGAGAGACTCAGACACTGTTGTTGGAGACGGCGCTGGCGAGAGAGGCGCCAGCACCAGTGGAAACCGTGGAAGCTATGGAGGCCTGAGAAGCGGCTGAAACGCTGCCGGATATCCACGCCGACGCCGCCCGCCTGCTGACCCGGGTAAGGGAGCCCTCCGTGCTCCACCATGATTGGCTGTTAGGAGCGGCTGATGGTGAGGCGTAGCTGCCAGCAGGGCACTCCTAATGGCAAGTTCCCCCCGCCTCCCCCCCCAATTTCGCATGTTTTAAACTAGGCCTAAATTTGGGGGGAGGGGCTTAATTTCATTTTATGCCTAGAAAACATGCTGGGTCTTCCTATGGGGGGGCGTATTGTTGGAGAAACACGGTATGATCATAATAGTGTGCGCGCATGTTTGTGTGTAGAACACAGGTGTTAAACTCATGCTGTCACATTGCCATCACGGGACATTTTGTGATGTTTTTTCCCTTCGCGGAGCTGGGATGGGCATGGCCTGTGCACAAAACTAATCCGGGGCCTGGGCCACCAGTTTGACACACATTTGAGAGACAACGCAGAAAATTCTTTTTGTTTAAAAAGAATTCCACTTACCTGACATTGGCTTCTATCTAGTGCATCTAGTCTTATAGTAAGAATAATACCTGTATGCAGGGAAGGCGAAGCCTCCTCGCTGACGGACCGTAGATCGCGACTCTCTGCGGCTATGGTCTGTGCTCTTTCGTTGGAAAGCCCCGATCATTACGATTAGGGGCTGAAGCTGCCTTGGAGGGGTGGCGGAGTAAGGGGAAGCCGCAAGCCAGGTTGAGGGGAGCTGCATCTCACCCCCCCCTGGTCTTGGTCTTTTCCCCCCGAAGACGACTGCAGTAGTGGTTTAAAATGGCCACCCCGAGGAGGAGGACTCAGCTGGATTAATATTTGTGCAGGAGGGAAGAAAGAGGTGGATAACATCTGAACCGGGACAACTGGGCAATACAACTAAACAAAAGTACCCCGGGATTAAGGTAACATGGAATTTTTAAGAAAAGAAAAGTGAGCGGCGAAATTACAAAGGGACAGGAAAAAAGAAAAAGAAAATATTTTTGACAGCTAAGCAGGACTTCGAACCGGGAAAGGAAGAAGCCAGAACTAAAGATTTAACTAAATTGGACTAAAATATTTTGGCAATAAGCAGGCATAAAATAAAGCTGGACTTAAGATTGTCAAAAAATAATAATAATAAAGTTTACAAATTGGAGACTGGATTGTGCTGGAATATTAAGGTTCGAAAAACCCTAAATAAAAAAATAGGGGGAAAAGGTAAAGACTTTGTATAATGGAGAGTGCCACCTTTTGACAAAAACTTGAGCTCAAACAAAAAGGAAAACATCCTGTTTCTGAATGAACTTGTGCGGATATAACATTAAAGAAATATTGAAACAAAATAAGAATCTTAGAAAGTGAAAGCAGAACCAGAATAAAGAAAAAAGCAAGGAAAGACTGACTGTGGGATTGATTGATGTTTTTGGTATAGACCCTGGGCAGGAATAATTGAGAACTTTAGAAAATTGAAAGAAGAAAGAAGTGTAAAGGTGTTTTTTGTGTGTGTGGACTTTAACGATCATAAAATATAAGAGTGTGTAATGATGATATCTCTTCGGGAATTAAAAATGGAACTTAAAAATATGAGAGAATTACTACAGGAAAGAGGCGAATCACTTTGCTCTGTGTTAGAAAAAATGGCAATGGCAATTGAAGAACAAGAAGAAAGAGCTTCAGAGGAGGAGGAGTCGACTCAAGGAGAAGACATTTTAAATAGACAATTAACACAAAGAACACTACAAAGAAGTGGGGAAAGAAGGAAGGTTAAAAAGTTGAGATTTAAGAAGGCAATCAAAAGGGGGAATACCTGTGAAGTCAGGAAAAACAGAAAGACCCAGCAGAAAAGGGGAAAGGAAGATATTAAGAAAGAGAGGGATATAAACTGGAATGAGAAAAGATATGGGGAAAAGAGGGGGAGGAGAAGCACTAAGAAACAGGTGCATGAAATAAAGAAATACGGAAATAGTAAAATGTTGAAAAGAAATTGTTTTTCCAGGGATAATGGTTGATGAATTAAAAAGGGGATTCTGCAGGGTGACAAGGGGTAATAAGAATATTTCTGCAATTAAAAATATTTAGAAAATAGGGTAATATAGATACTGGTAACTCTTATTAAAAATTAAGGGGGGGGAAATATGCTGCGGAATCCAAATGAAAAGATGTAACGATTATTATTGTAACTTCTTAAAAATAATTGTTTATTGGGAATCAAGATGAGGGAATAAAAGTATATTTTAATCATTGAGGTGTCGCACTCAAAGCAGTAAAAGGGGGGAAACTTGTACTTGGTTTTTTTTTTAGTGTTAAAATTTGTATTAATCTAGAATTTATAAAAAGAATGTGTAATGGAAAGGGAATATGACAGACTAAAGAACCAACTAGATTAATAAGTTAATATAGACTATTAAAAGCAAGGAGAGACATTGGTAACCTTTATTATTATTATTATTATTAGGCAAACACATATTGTTTATCTTTATTTTTAAAATAAATATTAAAGGATTATATTTGAAATAATTGAAATGAAACAAAAAGATGTTTCGATTGAGATTAATGAAAGAGGCTCGAATTAATGTGTTTGTGTTTCTCTCCTTACTGAAAATTTGGAATGGAAAAGGTAATAATAGAATAATAGAATAATAGAATTAATAGAATAATAGAATTAAGTATGCATATATGAATGTCATATTTGTATGTAAAGGTGATGACCCGGAAATATGTTGTCCACTAAAAAGAGATTTTTGTTTTTAATGTGAAAAACTGAATAAAATTTGTTTTTTTAAAAAAAAGAATAATACCTGTATGCAGTATTTTTTTTTAAATCATTACCTTCTCCATGCAGAAATCTTGTATTACTTGTGTGACTCTGGGGTTGTCTGGGAGAAAAAAGTTTGAGTTGTCAGCCAGAACAAGGTCTTCAAGGTAGAAAGGTCGTACCGTCTGGAGAGGAATCTTCTGTATCTTCATTTTTTTGTCTTTGATGTGCAACAAGCCAACATGTCTGGAAGGCATGGAAACAAAGCTGTTTACAGCTTGGCAATGTGGTAGAACTTCAGAATAGCGACAGACTTTGGCAGAAACCAATGGCAATAAAAATGGAACCCTCAGAGATGGAGCTGATCAAGATCCATGGCCAAGAACTCCCATCTAGAAACATCAAAAGGTAAGGCGCGTGGTGGCTCGCGAGGTTAGGATGCTGGGCTGACAATTGGCAAGCTTTCATTCAAGACCATGTCAAAACCTCAGAACTGACTTCGCTTCTTCTGTGCCTGGATGGATCTGTTAGTAAAGTTTTACTCTTGGTAATAAAGATGTCTCAGAAGTTTCTTTTGGAGTGCATGCCAATGGGGCGGTTGACTTGTAGTTTCTTTCCCTACTGGATTTTACTCTGAAAACTCAAGATTCTATGCAACTCTTATCACAGGGATTGTATTTACCAGATGAGGGTGAATTTTTATAATTTACTAGCACCATTAGTGGGAAAGGTTCTTTGGAAGGATTTCTCTTTAAACAAGTCTCTCTGGCTTTCTTTCCCTAGTTTACAAATTTTAATAGAATAGAATTCTTTATTGGCCAGGTGTTATTGGACACACAAGGAATCTTATGTGTCTTGGTGCAAATGCTCCCAGTATACATAAAAGAAAAGATACATTCATCAAGAGTCATAAGGTACAACACTTAATAATAGTCATAGGGTACAATAAGCAATCAAATCATACTAGGAAACAGTCAATATAAATCGTAAGGATACAAGTGACAAAGTTACAGTCCTACAATCACAAGTGGGAAGGGATGGGTGATAAGGAGTGATGAGAAGATTAGTAAATAGTAGTGCAGACTTTGTAAATAGTTGGACAGTGTTAAAGGAATTATTTGTTTAGTAGAGTGATGGCGTTCAAGGAAAAAACTGTTCCTGTATCTAGTTGTTCTGGTGTGCAGTGCTCTATAGCGTCGTTTTGAGGGTAGGAGTTGAAACAGTTTATGTGTGGGATGTGAGGGGTCTGTAAATATTTTCACAGCCCTCTTTCTGACTTGTGCAGTATATATAGATCCTTGATAATACCAAGAAGGATACTGCATTTGGGGGAACGGGAGTAGTGAGTAATTTATTAACCCTTAAATAACTTACTAATAGTCAGGATGGCTTCAATATTGTGACAATGGAAATGCTATTTGTCAAATCACATTCCTTCCCTATTTTCTTTGGATTATCCCTTGTGATAAGCACAACAGAACCAATATGTCCAAAAAAAGAAAAAAAGAAAAGAATGAAAAGGATATAGTACTGGTATTTAGAGGAAAGGCTCCCACACATTTTCACCGGATATACAATGCAAATTAGTGAAACACAAAAGAACCTACTTTCTGGCAGTTTCCCCTGGTGACAAAGACGTAACCACCGAACTTCCTGGCTGACAAACATAGAAAAGTTGTTGCTCGTTTCTGGTTGGAGATATTTTACATTCATGTTCATGACCCCAAATGACAAGGTCAATGAAGTCATCTAGAAACTGTTCTGGAATATAGTTTGTGGCGCCGTGTTTACTCCTGTGCCAAAGAAAACAAACACGATAGCAATAAATAAATAAATAAAACAGCATTTTGCAAAAACAAACCAAAGTACCCAATTTTTAAATATGGCATGTTATCACAATATTAGACCCATTCTCACTATCCCAAATGCGATCAGTTATCAAAATATAAGGGAAAGTAAAAGAAAATATTAGACTCTGATATCTACAGATACAATCCCATTTAAATTTCAAAACATCTTTAGTTTAGTTTAGTTTATTGTCATTGCACCTCATACAACGAAATTAAATACCACCTTCAGTGTACATTATAACTATGAAAATAAACACAAACACACACCCTTCACATTCTATACATTGAATTGAAAACCCTTGATATTGCATTAATATTGTACTATACAATAGAATTCAACAGAATTACTTCCCTGAGATAGCTGTTTTTCAGCCTATTTGTCCTTGTTTTTATTATCCTTGCATTTTGTTTCATTATTGTTTATTATAATTACATTTTGGTGCTTCAGTTCTAAAATTATTTTGCAAAAATTGAAAACTGTGACACTGACTTGATCAATGAGAGTGATCATTCCACGGGTGCAAATAAACAACGATCTCAACATCCAAGGATGGATAATACGACTAAGAACAGGCTATCAATTCAGGATCCAGATGAGATGAACATAGTAGTATCTATGTTCTCCAGATGAGATGAATACAGACCAAAGGCATAAGATGTAACCTGGGGTAGGTAGGCTAAGGGGGGAAAAAGGGACACCCATCACATTCCTCAGAGTGAAGAACCATGTCTAGATTAAATTTCACTGAGGCAGGCCTCCATAGGGCTTCTTAAATCACCTGGCCTAATTCTGATCTCCTAGAACAGAGGTCTCCAAACTTGGCAACTTTAAGACTTGTGGACTTCAACTCTCAGAATTCTGGGAGTTGAAGTCGTCCACGAGTATTAAAGTTGCCAAGTTTGGGGATCTCTGTCCTAGAAATACAAATTTGTTTCCCAATACTATTTAAAGCTCCAATAGTCATCTACAAATAGCAAAAGCCCTTCATAGCCTGGACTCAGGGCCTAGATAACTACAGGATTGCCATCTCCAGGTAGACCATTGTATTGATCAAGTCCTGTGTCACTCCCCTTAAGATACAACATGGAAATCTGACAGGATGGGAATCTGAAGAAGAGTTTCTTGCCTTCAACTCTTTTAGGCAATTTTAGACAAGTAGAGAAAGCTGGCTATCTAAGCAAGCATTAATAGACTCAAAAGTAGGGGAAGGGTGTAGTGAAGATGCACATAAGGGATGTTGAATTATATTCTTGTTGTCACTGCAATATGACCATGAAGTTGATTTCTTAATGCATACTTATCCTACAGGTTATTGTATGCTGTTTTGTAAGCTGTTTTGACTCATTTTTGGATGGATGGATGGAGCCGATTAATGCAGCTTGAACTTGTTTTGCATGACACAAAAATTTTAATGATTTTAAATCGGAATGAATCAAGTGGAAAACATTCGGATTGGTTGCCTTACTAAAAAGCAGCTGTACCTGTTCTGATGAATGACAAACATATTAAACCATCTATCTTCATCTTCTTTCGGCCTCAACATGGTTACTTGTTTATTCACAAACATCCGATATAGTCTTTCATCGGGAACAGATCCTAGAAGAGAAAAATTATATGCAATGGGCTTTTAGTGATCCACCAAGCAGACAATTACACAGCTGAGTAGTGAGATTCCAATTAATATTTAGGTAACGTATGAGATTATTTTGCAGTTTTCTACTGGCAAATGATTGAAGCAAGTTGAATATTTTGCTTGCTACACAGCCAGCTTGCCAACTAAAGAAAGCTGTTTCTGTTGGAAAATCTTTCCCCAGAGATTAGGTGGGCCCTGACCTTGTCAGTCCTTTGCAAGACTTAAAGACAAACTGGGGCTGGGAACATTTTGCAGTCTTATCCTTTTTCCACATGCCACTCACTGCATGAGAAGCAGGGTGGTGGCTCAGCAGGTAAGATGCTGGGCTTGTTGGCTGGAAAGCCAACAGCCTACATTTGAGACCTCAGTTCCACATGATGGGGTGAGTTCCCATCCTCACCTCAGCTCTTGCTAACCTAGCAGTTCAAAATCATGTAAGTGCAAGTAGGTAAATAAGTACCACTTCGGTGGGAAGGTAACAGTACTTTGTGATGTCATGCTGGACACATGACCATGAAAATGTTTTTGGATAGCACTGGTTCAATGGCTTTGAAATAAGCAACGCCCCCTACAGTCGGCAATGACTAGCAGAGTAAAGTCCACAGGGACTCCTTTACTCAATGCGTAAAAATATACCGTATATAAAATTTAGAGATATGAAGAACACTTCGTTTTGAATCCTTTCAAGAATGAAACTTCATTTCAGTGTTTGGAGTGGTAATTTTGAGCTTGAAACACTTCTGAATGCTTAGATCCAGGGGTGGGATTCTAATGGTTCTGATTGGTTCGGGTGAACTGGATGTTAAATTTACATCTGGTTCACTGAACCGATAGTTGAACTGACCGGCTGGCCCTGCCCACCCCTCCCCTCCCCTCCCAGGAGTCTCCATGCAGCCCATTTTGGATGCAGGTAAGTGCAGGGTCTGCGCAGAGGTTCTGGGTGGGTGAAAAGTGGGCCTTCTGGAAGTCTTGAAATGGGCTTGTTTCCGGCTTGCAGAGGGCCTCCAGACCCAGGGAGAAGCCGTTTTCGTCCTCCCAGAGGCCCAAGGGAAGCCTCCGGATCCTGGGGAAGGTGAAAAACGGCCCTCCCAGAAGTTTTGGAAGTCCAGAAACAGACCTGTTTCTGGTTTTCAGAGTGCCTCTGGACCCCGAGGAAGGCAAAAAATGGCCCTCACGGAAGTTCCAGTAGGCCACGCCCACCAAGCAGCAAAGCAGCGGCTTTTCACTCAGAAATGGGTTATCTCACAAAATTTTGCACCTGAAATAGTTGGAAATATTTACATACACCTAATCAATTTTTTGTGGATCAAATCATGTTACTCCTCCTAATTCTAACCCACAAATTACAGCATAAAAATCAATTCAATATCATTATTTTTGTTACATTTTTGGAAAACTACTTGTATATACAAAATACCATGCTCCAATCTACAAAAGTCTTACCTAATCCATAAAGAGCAATCTTTGAATTTCCTTTTTGAAGCAAAATGGGACTAATTTCTATTTTCTCTATAGATGGGGATCGTCCAAAATGATTAATAAGTCCTGCACAGGTTAAAATGTCCAAAGCACAAAGACCATCTGCCTATAGTTACGGAAAACGATAACAAAAATGGAATTTGTGACACATCAATTTTGTTAAATTCCCAACATATAAAGCTTTAAAACTAGAATGTGTTTTTACTTATGTGTATGTGTGCACATAAATAAAAAACCAGTATACTTTGCATTTATGATTGCTTAAATCTCTCAGACAAACATTAAATGACAAATTAATGTTTTTTCCTGTATTTAAATGGCCTCTAGTCTAAAACCTTTGATGTCTCAAAAGTGGGGAAAACGTAAGAGTGACTGCAAGCTACATAACGTGGCGTTGCAAATACTTTAGCTTCTAATCTGCTTTACTTCCTCCAGATTAAGAATAACCTCTGAACAATTAGACAAAAGCCAGAATGTAACTAATTAGTGTATTTTTCCACAAATTAACAACAGTATGGTAAAAAATTAATTTTTAAAACTTGGTGGTTTTTTGATGAAGACAATGAACCAAATTGATTACACAACAAAAGGTTGTATGCTTTTACCCTAAGGAAGTTACATTATTTTTCTATGCTAAAACACAAACCATGAACTACATTAAATGCTATTTTTATCTTGTATGCATTCCTAATCATAATTTATGTTAAACTTGACAGCAAGTTTAAGGAATAAAATTTCAGCCTACCAAACACTTGGTATAGGATACAAGATAACTCATGCTTAATTTCACTAGCAGATTTTAGTATGGAATTGCTAGATTGTAATTTTCATATTCTTGGCTGTCTTTATAAAGGATTACTAGCATAATTAATAAAGCTACTGCTCTTCTTTCATTCTTTTAACATTCTTACCCCTGTGGGATCATCATGGTTGCCATGAATACTAAAAACTGGAATAGAAATGTTGAGATTTTCATCTTGGTAGTTCACCCATGGAAACCTAGACAGCACAAGTTTAAAGCAAACAAAAATATTACTGCATCATTTCCAATATGCAACTAAACTCTACAGGAATGTATTTTTTATAGAATTAAACCTTATAGACTGAATTCAGAATTGTGAAGTTCTTGATGTTCTTCTCTGAGTTTGACCATTTGGTTACAGACCTTTCACTATCCAACTAGGTAACATCATCAGCGTGATGGAGTGTGGGGTTTGGTGTCTATATGTAGTGGTTTGTCCGGCCGCCATATTAGGCAGCAAACTCCATATACATTCACACTGATGATGTTAGCTAATGGATAATGAAAAGTCTACAAGCAAACAACCAAACTCAAAAGATCACCAAGAACTTTAAAGTTGAACCCTGAGCTACATATATTCCCTTCTATTGAATTCAATAGAAGAGTGGAATAGAATTAATTTGATAAACTATCTGTTCTGAGAAAAGGGATGAGACAGTTTTTATACATTGCTCCTTAATATGAAAAGCTGCTCAGGAAGTTGGGAAATATATTTTAATATATATAAAAGAAAAGTGCATTTCTCCCATTTTAGCACTTTTCATGAATGGATAGAATTTTTATTTACAGGCCACAAGGCTAATGCAACAGAATTTCAGGGAGGTGGGGGAATCAAGAGCTCCATTAAGCAGACCAAACAGGAAAACTCCCAATGTAATAACAAACCACAATAAAAATGTATGTACTATATTGTCCGGAATTAGCACCACTAATCAAAAGAAAGAAACTTTCTTTGGTTATTTATAGTTGTTACAACTGTAATTCAACTACAATCAATTATTTACACAAAACTGAATTTAATATACTATAGGAATACTTACTTGCTAAAGCCAAAGTTAACTGACTGGTCACTCAGAATTTCAAATTGTACAGGACGGTCACCCATGCAATATTTTCTTAATAATTCTAAACATGTATATATTGTTTTCCGGGAAGGCTTGTTTTCATGAAAGAGATCCCCACCTAATAAAATGAAGTCCACCTATAAAGAGATTTTGTGGGATATGTTATTATTATATATGCATTTTTCTCAAAATGATAGATTTCTGAAAATGGTTCAACTAGACAATGTTTTTGGATTGATTTTTTTTTTTGGAGAATAGATGTGGCTACTTTAAGAAGTTGCAGGCAGGCATTACGTTTACAGCCTCTCCAAAGTGGCTTTTAGTCTATGAATCCTAAATCCTGCCATCTTCCATCCCACTAAACCCCAAATGCATCTGAAGTCCTTTTAAGGCTCAAAATATATAGAAAACAAAAGAGGGCCCTTTCTAGAAATTGACAGGTTTTATTTTTTAATCCTGATTGAAATGCCCAATGTATAAAATAAGTTACTATGTTAACTAAAGAAGCATAATAAAGTACCTCTTATACTGAAAATAGAAAATAGAAAGGACTGAAGATGGAAAAGTACACCCAGATATGTTTGTTATAAAATTTTATTTAAAGGTGAATTTAATTGTCCCACTATCTGCAACTGACTTATGGATGGTTAACATTCCTGCATGTCTTAAAACCAATTTCATTGATCTATTGATTGTTGATTGTTAACTGAGCCCAAAAGATTCTACTGGTAGGTAGCAGGGGTGGGATCCTACCGGTTTGGTCCAGTTCTATCGAACTGGTAGCTCCGAAGAGCAGCTGACACCGAACTGGTTCGCTGGGACGAGGTTTCGGTCTGCTGTACGGCCCACTCGCCCGACCAGGCTCTAGGCTGTCCTTTAGTGGCTGTTTTCCTCCTCAGCTGCTTTGTGCGGCACAGCTGAGTGCCGCTCGTCAGCTGGAGAAGGAAATGCTCGCCGGAGCTGGTAGCACGCACATGCAGCGCACATTTGTCGTGCATGCACGCGCTCCTTGAACTGGTTGTTATGCCGGTCGGATCCCACCCTAATAGGTAATATACAAATATGAACTACACCTGCCATGGTTAATTTTTCATTTCTGCCCCAGGTCTTATTGACAGTACAACTGGCTCAAATTGGTCTTCGTTTCACAATGTCATTTGTATAATATGCAATGAATGTCCTAACAATAAGAATAATTTCTAGGAAATACAGATAGTTCTCAACTTACAACCATTCATTTAAGTGACCATTTGAAGTTACAAGGGCACTGGAAAAAAATGACTTATGGTCACTTTTCACACGACCGTTGTAGCATTCCTGTAGTCACATGATCAAAATTTGGGGCACTTGGCAACTGGCAAGTATGTGTGACTGTTGCACTATCACGTGATCACCATTTGTAACCCATCTGGCTTCAGACAAGCAAAGTCAATGGGGGGGAAGCCAAATTAATTTAATGACTGCATGATTCATTTAACAACTGCAATGATTTGCTTAACAACTGTGGCAAAAAAATATCGTAAAATGAGGCGCAAGTCACTTAACAACTGCCCTGCTTAGCAATGGAAATTTTGGGCTCAACTGTGGTCATAAGTTGAGGACTACCTATATGTGGCCTTTCAGTGGTTGTTTGGTAACATGATTTCAAAGTGGTTTACCTCATTATCTTGAGCAAGTTTCAATATTTCATCAAAGGTTACAAAAGTATCATTTCCACGACAAGCATCCTTCTCCAAATATCCAAGGTGAATGTCTGTAGCAACTAAAATTTTAAATGTGTCTTTTTCTTCTTTATCTCTAAAGTGAAAGAGAGACAAATTAAAGCAAAATAGTATGGCTGCATCATTTCCTGTTTCAGCATCTAATGCAGTATTTTGTTAAGTTATAGATTACATTCTTCAAATGCTACAGTCTTCAGTAGTCATTTTATGGAATTATAGAATTATAGGGAACAACTGGGCCTCTAGACTCTTCCTGCCGTATTTCTATGGTTAACTCTCTGTGACGCTTGGAAGAACATTTAATTATTTGAATTGTTTCTTACGACATATCTGCAATTCCATGAGAGCACATTGTTTTTATATTATTGGTTTAAAAGTATTCTTTGCATCCTTTATATGGTTTTGATTTTCAGTATCGATGAGGTGATCGTAAATTATAGGAAAACCACAATTAGCATGACCCATGACTAAATCTCTTCTCCATTGATGTGAATATTGTGGAAAATTTACCTGGAAGTGGTAGAACTCATATCCACAGTCAGCCTGGGTCCAATTTACAAAAGGTCTCACAAAGCCAAATGACTAAATAAAACCAGACTTTCAGTCAAGACCTATGAACAACCAAATAAAGAGAAGAATCTTAGGGTAATCAACTTGAAGCCAAACTATCATAATTTATTCTTTAAATATACTTTTCCACTGAACAAAAAACTCAGTATGATGCATAAAAAAATGTTATGGCTCCCCCTTCAAAGTTCAAACAACACAAAACCAAAAGCAGCCGTTCCAAAACTTAAGTCCAAAAGAAAGGAGTTTAACAAGATAACGACTGTCATCAATTATTTACACGCCCTGTTCAGCAAAAACAGTTCTGGCACAAATCCTCAAAGCTCCCAGCCTCTGCTGGAAACCTCGTGACGCAAACAGACACTTTGTTCCTGACAATCTTTCCTCCCACAGCTGTGTCCTTTTATAGTCCTTGAGGCAATGTACTAATTACTGAGTTTGCCTCCATAACACACCTAGATGGGCGTGTCAATCTCCCTAAATCAACGTCTGGCTTGATGTCTCCCCACAGCTTGACGTTTTAACCTCCTTCTAGTTCTGGCATCAAGCCACGATCTGTCCGTTTCTTCGCTCGATTCTTCTGACTCATGTTGTGCTTCAATTTCAGGCATGAATGAGGTCGAGGGTTCAGGCGAAGAATGTCTGTGTGATAACCTCTCATCCCTCTGGCTCACATCTGAGTCTTCTAACAATTCAGACTCCAAATTCTCAGCAGGCTCCAGCCTTTCATCCTCAGAGTCATCAGAATCAAAACTTACAGCAGGATCGATCCTTTCAGTCACAACAGAAAAATAAATGAAAAACCAAGAGTCTATATAACTAGGAAAACTCCAAGGCAACTGTGATTTTTAGCTTTTATCATTATCACATCTTTAGCTTTTTGCAAAAAGCATTAAAGCCACATGGCTCCTGCCTTTTGGGAAAATCCCAACTGATTTGGGGATTTTATAGGAGAGTTTCAAGAAATCTTATTGTTTGTGGGTGGAATGATGAGGTACCACAAAAATTTTCTGCAGAAATTAAGTGAGAAATGAGAAACCAATGTTTTTCTCCCCCTTTTCTCATTTAACTACAAAAGAATGGAAGTGATCACTCTCCTTTTCATCCGGTGAGATTTTTTTGAAAGAAAGAATAATGTTCTTTCTTTTTTTTTTTTTTAATAAAAGACCATTCTAGCACATTCCGTTCCATTTGTAGAACTTGCAGAAGGGAGACCTAATCCTAATAAATGGCTTAGGTATTAAACTTAGCCAAAATCTGAGGCCTCAACTGGTGTGGTGGTTAAGATAAGAAGCTGGAAGAACATGAGTTAGTCTCATTTTAAGCACAAAGTTGTCTGGCTGATTTTGGACCAGCAACTCTCTTCAGTCCTAGGAAGCAGGCAATGACAAGCTTCTTTCACAATCTTGTCAAATAAACTGAAAGGACCAGTGCAAGCAATCTTCAGTGACTCAAAGGCATCACCAAAATAAATAAAAATAAAAAGCAAACACCTCTTTGGATAGAATAGGGAAACAGCAAATTATATGGAGGTCCACCCCTTCTAAAATAGACATTGTGTCGAGTTTTTTGGCATGATACCTGAATGATCCAATGAATGAATTATTTGGTTAACTGACATACATGACTATATAACCTCTGAGAGAGGTCTGTAATATTTCTGTAAAACTGATAATTATTGTTTTCAGTCACATTCACAATTAAAATGCAAAGGAAATCAAAACCTGTGAGAATAAACAACTAGGCAATCCAACAGGGACAGTTTTTAAAAAGAGACTGGACAACCATTTGTCTGAAATGGATTGGTATAGGGAGGTTGGACTAGAAGACCTCCAAGGTCCCTTCCAATCCTGTTATTCTGTTAAGTAAACTTTGCTCCTATAATTCCTATAAAGTGTCACATAGCATAATTTCAATACAATTTATAAAAGTATAATATATAATTCCAAAGCAGGAATATAACTGTTTTATAGGATTAAACGAGCCAAAATCGATGCCCTGTTGTAAAGGAGACAGACTAGCTAGCCCCTGGATTTAAGCTGTTCTGCATATCCCATGCAGTGACCAACAAACTCGTTTTTTGGGGGGATGAAGAACAATAGAGAGGCTGGCTTCAAAGCAGGCCAGTGGAAAACGCAGCATTCCTACGACATGTTATAGCCACTTGTCTGAAATGGTACAGGATCTCCTGCTTGAGCAGGAGGGGGCTGGACTAGATGACCTCCAAGGTCCCTTCCAGCTCTCTATTCTGATTCTGGGCTGAGTTAACCCTGCTCGGCTGGGCAACCTCACCCAAGGATTGGGGTCCAACCCAAGCAAGAGACATGATGAAATCACCCCCTCTCGGGAGGAAAGACATCTTCTGGCACCCTGGGCTGGAATAACCGCCTCTACTGCCACACCACCAGCCCGCCGCAAGGATCGTGCGAATTAAAGCAGAACGGCAACTCCTGCAGATACTGCAGGCAGCTTCCTCGCTGCGCTCCCCGTGGGATTCCGGCTGTTCTTGGCTGTTTCATGTCGCCTAGCAACGAGGCAGCGTGAGGAGGCCGCCCTCACTCCTTATCCCTCCCAACAACTGCCCACCTCCCCCAACAACCACAACAACAACAACAACAACAACACCTCAGCTCACCCAAGTTTCCCTTTCCCGCGAGCGCCGGCAACCACTTCTCGCGTGAACTCCGCAACTCCCGTCTTCCCCCCCCCCCACCACCACCCGCCCCCCCCCCCCCCCCACCCTTGCAATCGACTCTCATTGCGCAGCCGCAGCGGTAGCCGTTTCCGGTGAAAGGCGACTCTTCCTTCCCCCCCACCCTCGGGCGGAAATGTCCTAGACGGGAGGGGACGGGAGGCCTGTCGGGGCGGTGGAGGAGTCGAGGCAACACGGAGGGCACCTTTGAGTCTCTCTCTCTCTCTCTCTCTCAAAACACGCGTCTTGTCCTGGAGCCAGGGAGGTCTCGAAGCGTGTACGCCGAGGAGTATATTCATCCCACCACTCCGTGTTAAACATTCATTTATATCGGTATGTGTCTAGTCGTCTCTGCTTCTTGGGTGCCCATAAGGCTTAATGGAGCCGCCTTCCAAGGGCTGTAGGGCTGGCTACTTGGGTTATTATCGGGTGGTTTGGATCCTGCCCCACGAGGGTTGTTGTGAGGCTGGGTTTTTTTAAAAAGAGATTTATGGACAACCGTTTTATCTGGAATGGCATAGGGGCCTTGAGCAGAGGGTTGGACTAGAGGTCGCCGCGATGTAAAACAGGTGATGAGAGTCTAGAAAGAGCGCAGAGAAGAGCAAGCAACGATGATTAGAGGACTGGAGAGACGAAAACATATGAAGAACGGTTGAAGGAACTGGGTATGCCTAGTTTAATGAAAAGAAGGACAAGGGGAGACAGGATAGCAGTCTTCCAATATCTCAAGGGTTGCCACAAAGAAGAGGGAGTCAAGCTATTCAAAGCACCTGAGGGCAGGACAGGAAGCAATGGGTGGAACCTGATCAAGGAGAGAAGCAACCTAGAACTAAGGAGAAATTTCCTGACAGTTACAATAATTAATCAATGGAACGAGTTGCTTCCAGAAGTCATGGATGCTCCAACACTGGAGGTTTTAAAGAAGATATTGGACAACCATTTGTCTAAAACGCTATCGGGTTTCCTGCCTGAGCCATGGGTTGGAAAAGAAGACCTACCTCTTCTTTTCCCTTCCTTTCCCTTCCCTTTTTTCTCTAGTCTATTATCTATTCCAAGGGTCTTCAAACTTGGCAAGTTTAAGACTTGTGGACTTCAACTCCCAGAATTCCTGAGCTAACATGACTGGAGGAGGGATTCTGGGAGTTGAAGTCTACAAGTCTTAAGCAGTCAAGTTTGAAGACCCCTGATCTATTCTATTCTATTGACCTCCAAAGTCCCTTCCAACTCTTCTCTTCTCACTTCTATTTTCTCTATTCTACCATATTCTCTATTTTATTCTCTATTCTATTCTATTGGGCTCCAAGGTCCCATCCAACTCAATTTTCTCTTCTCTCTCCTATTTTTTTTCTATTCTACCGTATTCTCTCTATTTTATTCTCTATCCTTATTAACCTTCGAGGTCCTATCCAACTCTGATATTTTGTTATTCTGACCATTTTTTGTGAAGGAGCCAGTTGTGATTCTTCAGTGGAGCCTGCTTTGGATGTCTCTTGTGACCCCTTCCCAGATTAAAAAAACACTCCAATATGTCTGTAGCCTTCATCTGCATGTGTTTTTAGCCTTGCTTGTTTGACTAGGACTGCCAGCTCTTTGAGGTAGTCCAGACAGAAAACCAAAACCATGAGCACTAGCATCACCTTTATTATATGTGTACAGTAACAGCATCTTGCAAGTCTGAAAGCACTTCTCTTCCTTTTATGTCTAGGGAGATTCTCAGTTATCCAGGCCATGGTTGTGTCCCAAAGGTACTTTTTTCAAAGGGCAACTGGGCTTTCTTGGTTTTTGCTTGAAGCAACCTCCATTCTGACTGAACGCTGGGGAATGGAAGGCCTGCAAGGAATATCAATCCCTCCATTCCCAGCATTCAGTCAGGATGGAAGAAACTTCTTGGATGAGAAGCAAAACGTCTTCAAGCAAAAAACGAAGAAAGCCCAGTTTCCTTTTGAAAAAAGCATCTTTGGGCCTCCTCTTCCTTGTTTCATTTTCCAGAGAATTAGAGAAGATACTTCTGAGATGCTTTCTCCACCCTCCTTCCTCCTTTGAGCTCTGATGTCTTTTATCAGACGAGGCTTAATACGTAATCCCCTTATTTGACAGGTCTTCTGTTTGTCCTTCCCTGCAAATTGAAATGGCGTGGATTTGGTTGCTGGTTTGTAAAAAAAAAAAAGAAATATGAAAGCATCTTGCTCTTACCTCCTCCATCCAAATCTCACTGTATGGTAAAGCAGAAGACCCCTTCCATTCCTTAGTAGTCAACTAAGAGAAGGGGAAGAGAAGAAAGTTTGGTTTTTTCCTTTCTTATTCTCTTTCTTATAGCATCATGGGCTCTTCCTCCTGTTGCTCGAGGTTATTTGATGAATTCTACTGCTACTGGTGGTGAGCATGGTCAATGATTTCCTTGGGCACTGGCAGTTTGTTTAGCAAGGTTTTGTTTTAATCTTGCAAGCTGCCCATGAGTAATAAAATATAAAATGGGTGACTGCCTAGATTACATAAATAAATAAAAAGTTATACAAAGGAAACTTCACCATTTCTTATCATGAGTATCCAACCTTTTGCCTTACCTGCACTGCATTGAGTGAAGAGGAATTGTCTTGGGCCAGATATAAAATATATAATTTAGTTAATGTATATAAATCACATAATGTTAAAGGTTTACCATCTTGTGGGGCTGCAAACTACCTGTCCAGGCTGTGGGATACAGGTTGAAAATACCTGATCTAGAGCATTATGGACAACTTCCTTTTTGGATGTGGAATTGAGAGGATTAAAGTAATGCTATCTTTTGAATGCTGGCTCTGCTCACTCTTTCAAGAAATAGAAAGAAACAAGCATTTGGAGGGTTTTAATTCCAAAATGATTTTGGTGGGTTACAAAAGAGACTGTTTGAAGAAGTCCTTCACGTTTCTTGTCTGATAGTGGCAAAGAAGCGATAAGATAGCTTTTTAAATTGACACTTCTGAGGTGCTGTTCATGGTGCAGCAAATGTCTTATCTTCTTTTCCCCAATCGTAATATTCCATTTCTTTTTCTTTTCTCTTTTAAAGATGGTGGTGATGTTGCTGCCAGTAGCTTTCGTTACCAAACTTGGTTGGCAAGGCATTGGGGATATGAGTTAGGAAAATAGAAGCGGGACTCTTCTACTGTTTGCAAATTGAAGCCTGCAAAATGAACGAAAGCATAACGTCAGCCGACAACAATAACACGGATGAGGAGGGAAAAGACTTTGCTGACAGCTTTAACCAGCTTGAGCTACTGGAAACCCACCGGCATCTCATCCCTAGAGGAACACAGAGTCTCTGGTCTGGAGACTCTGATGAGGAAGACCAGGAGGAAAAAACAGAGGAATGGTACCAGGCTCAAGAGAAAAAGTTGGCAAACAGCCCAGATAAGCTTCTGCTTTGGGCAGCCGAAAAAAATAGGGTAAGCCAAATGTAATACAGTATATGAAAGAAAACTCTACATGATAAATTCATTTTGCCTATTATTTCCTAGAAAGACTCTAGTTCAGGGATGGCAAACTCAAGGCCATGAGTATTTAGATCTTGCCCTGGAAACAGCGAAGGACCAGCCTGCGATGCTTCTGCCAGCGAAAACAGGCTCCTGAGCTCCATTTTCGGCTGCCAAGGCCTCCTGCAAACCTCCATTTTTACTGCAGAAGGTTGCAGGAGGCCGTGGCAGCTGAAAACGGAGCTTGGGAGCCTGTTTTCGCTGACAGAGAGCTCAGGCCACCACCAGCGCCCCCAACAGGAGTGACATTGAGCTGGCCACGCCCACCCCAGGTCAAACACAACCCTGATGCGGCCCTCAATGAAATCGAGTTTGACACCCCTACTCTAGTTTGACATAATGCGCTTTTCAAATGGCATCTGTTTGGTTTATGCTATAGCCACAGAGATGCTGAGGTCTCCTTCATTCGAAGAGGTGAGTGCAAACCATCTATCAATGCTTTACAGGTAGTCCTTGATTTACAACAGTTCATTTAGTGACTGTTCAAAAAAGTGAGTTATGACTGTTTTTCACCCTTACAACCGTTGCAGCATCCCCATGGTCATGTCAAAATTCCGATGCTCAGCAACTGACTCATATTTATGACGGTTGCAGGCCATCATAAGGGTTTAGAAGGAACAATGAAAAAACAGTTGGCTGCACCTACAGAATTCAAGACAAGTCAGAAATGATTATGATGCTTTTGGGTAACAAAAGCAATTGCAATTGGTGCAATAGGCTTCAATATTATTATGAATAAAAAAATGAGGAACCGACAGTTGCACGCGCAAAGCCAGTCTGGATTATTTTTAGAATTGTGAATTTATGGCAGTGCTGTTTTATCAAATAGATTTTGATCTTTAGGAATGGGATTACAGAAAATTGGGGCGTTGATTCCTCCAAATGAATGGGAGCAAGTGGATAGGAGGATTGTATTTTCCTTGGAGTCAGTGTCAAAGAATTTGCTTTCTTCCTGGAAACGTCATAATAAAATTGATTGTTAAAAGGTGGAGGGAAGCTTGCTCATTGTTTCACGAACGTTTAGTTGAGCAAGTGATCCCCAGTTCTTTCAGAACTAAACTCCTAATGGTCTATGAAGTCCTCCAGACTCTGGATTCCCCGGATCACCTTTGCAAAAAGGATTGGTTTCAATGGCACGAGTTTCTCTAAAATAAGGGGTGAAAGAAAGGTGGATAAAAATCAATTTTAAAAAAAAATGTAAAAAAATGGGATTTTTTAAATTTAAATAGTATTTTTTTATTTAAATTGATTTTTTATTTTTATCAAATTTATTTTAATAAAATGCTTTAGGAGTAAAAAATCTAAAGATAGATTTCTGTTTGGGATACATTAGTAATGTCAGCATTCAGCCTGAAATGGAGCTTAATTATGTAGCATGAGGCTATATATTCTGCAATATTTACATTTTTGGTAAACTCATTCAAGGAATCCGAGCTCTGGAAGCTAAATAGGAAACCTTCCTTTTGTTTGCAAATAATGTTAAAGATTCTAACTACCAGCAAGAATGAGTCCTTACACTGAAAGAGCACCTGTCATTTCAAGTCCATCATGCCAGCGCCTGTTAGCAGGCATCCCCTCACCTGCTGCCTGTCATGTTCCTTGCCTTCCTGTGCCACTGCTGTATCACCAGCCGTCCCATTAAAATGAATGGGATTGTCGGTGAGTCAACAATGGGTCAGAGGAGGAGCCGCTGTGAGACAGGGATGATAGTCGCTCTTTAAAAATTATGATTTAAATTGAGTTGAATTAAATCAAGCCTTTTTACTTGTGATTTAAATCAAACCGATTTAAATCAAATCCACCCTGGAAGACATTGCAAAAAAGGTCACAAAACACAGAGGAAATATGGAGAAATAGTTGATTTAAATCAAGCCTTTTTACTAGCGATTTAAATCAAATCCACCCTGGGTGAAAGAGTGTTTCAGAAGTGGAGACCAAGTGGAGCAAGTGGCCAGTTTTAAGTTTCTGGGGTGTTACCATAAAAGAGGACCTGACCTGGGGTGCTCACATTGCAGCCCTGGTCAAAAGGGCCCAGCAGAGATTATACTGCCTGAGACTTCTCAGAAAACAACAACTGAATGAAAAACTGCTGGTGTCCTTCTACCGCTGCACCACAGAGAGCATCTTAACTTACTGCACCTGTGTATGGTTTGCCAATTGCACAGTGGCAGATAGGACAGCACTCCAGAGGGTTAGCGTCATTGCCCAGAAGATCATGGGTTGCCCTCTCCCCTCTTTGGAAGAGCTTTATAGCTCCTGCTGCCTTAAGGAAGTTTAAAACATTCTCAAAGATCCATCTCATTCTGGGAACCCTTTTTTTGAACTATTACCATCTGGCAGACGGTGCAGAATAATAAAAACAAGGACAAATAGGCTGAAAAACAGCTTCTATCCCAGGGCAGTAACTATATTGAATTCTACTGTATAGTGCAGGTGTCGGCAACCCGCAGCTCCGGAACCACAAGTGGCTTCTATCCCAGGGCAGTAGCTCTGTTGAATTCTACTGTATAGTGCAGTGTTGGTGCGGTGTCGGGGGTTTTCAGTTCAGTGTGTGGAGTGTGAAGGATGTGTGTTTGTGTTTATTTTCATGGTCATGATGTGCACTGAAGATGGTGTTTGATTTCGTTGTACGAGGTGCAATGACAAAGTAAACTCAACTAAACTAAGAGCTAGAAATGTCCTTTTCAACTCTGGAAATACTATATCACCAGTCATTGCTTGTTCTTTGGAGTCAATGCCTTTTAGTGAAAGTTGTGGCCATCATTCAGAGCGTGGAAGTCACTTAATCTTATAGGAACTTGTCTAGAGTTAGTGGGATAACACTAAGCTCTTTGTCTCCCTTCCCACAGCTTAGCACAGTGCAGAGGCTCTTGTCTCAAAACCTTGTGTCAATAAACGTCCAGGATGAAGATCAGTATACGCCTCTCCACCGCGCTGCCTACAATGGACACATGGAAGTGGTGCGTGAGCTGATTGCGCATGGGGCAGATGTCCATGCGTTGACCGTGGATAGTTGGACACCTCTGCACAGTGCGTGCAAATGGAACAACACCAAAATTGCCTCCTTCTTGCTCCAACACGGGGCGAATGTCAACGCTCAGACCAACGGGTTGCTTACACCTCTGCACTTGGCCGCCGGAAACAGAGAGAGCAAGGAGACCCTGGAACTGTTGCTCATGAGTCGCTATTTAAAGCCAAATCTCAAAAACAACTTGGAAGAGACGGCTTGCGATATCGCTCGAAGGACTGATAAATACCACTATTTGTTTGAGATCGTCGAACACTGCACAAACTCCGTCACAGATTCTTAGGAATTGTACACCTAGCCCAACACGGCCCATGCGCTTTAAAAAAAAAATCTATTTTTGTCATTGCATCCTCAGCTCTTTGCGTCATAACTTAGCAGGTGGTAGAATGAGGCTCTGCTGAGTAACACTGACATTATTTTTTATAAGATAAGTTATGTGTCTATGGAGATTCTCAATCATCCAGGTCATGATTGGAACCAAAGGTGCTTTTTTCCTCCCAAAAGACAACTGAACTTTCTTGATGGTTTTTTTCCCCTTTTGGTTCTCATCCAGCAAGCTTCTTAAGTTCTGAACTTCTTGAATGAGAAGGGAAACATTTTCAAAAGACAAATAAAGCCAAGAAAGTCCAGTTGCCTTTTGGAATAAAGCGCCATTTGGGATAAAATAAGCTATGCCACTCTTGTGGAATGTTTTCACTTTAACTTGAAGAAACATGGTGATTTTGCTGCTTTCCCCATCCATTGTAAATGGAAATCATTCACAGAGCCACAAAGTAACATGTAAATATTCAGTTTGGAGGAGCAACACTTTTCAAAGGGACTCCTTTCTAAGGTGTGTGAAGTTTTAATGAGACTTATGTAGTGACCAGTAATTTTCAACAGAGAAGAGCATGGAATTTAAACTATTGCCAAAACTTGGGGTATTCGCACACATATCAAAGATAGCAGCTGCCAAAAAATAGAGCTACCTGGTTAATAATGTGATGGGATTAAGATTTCCAAAATCTACTTCGGTATCTGTATAAGATATACCTGTATCTAATTCCTTAGTTGTCAAACATTATATTTTATGTTCTCAGGTTTTGCTTTTGAAAGTGACAGTATGGTTGCCTATATGTAGAAGTGTTTTGTTTACATTTTTATTGATCAGGTTTCTGAGTCAAGTTACCTGACTTTTTATGATTTTAGAACTTCATTATCAGAATTGCCAATTAATATGTCCAGGGGTCATATTGATTGACAGTTCAGGGAGTTGCAATTGCAGCACATTCAGAAATCAACCGTTTTGGTGAAAGTGGTTATAGGTCCTTGATAAATCACATTTAGTTGTTCTGTTTTTACAATGGTTTGTGTTTTTTCAGTATCGCTGCAATTCACAAACACTTAGTAGTAATATTTCAAAGTTATTTTCAGCAGCAGAAAACCCTACAGCTGACTGGTCCAAAGAGTGCTTGGAAGTACCTTATTGTACATCTGCTTTCCTTCGTAAATGATGTTTTGTATTTTGGGGAAACTTTGGGTTGTCATTCAGACAGATGCATGAAAAATCATCATGCGTTTGGTTCACTAGCTCTGAAGATACTTAGGGCTGGTTCACATAATTCTTTGATACACTTGAAGTTGAAAAAAATTCTCTGCATTGTACCTGATAAAAATTACATAACTCTTTCATGAGATTTGATGTGCATGTTCATGGTTATGTACAGAATGTGAAGCAGCATTTGTGTTCGTGAAATGAAGAGTGGAAAATGTGCTGAGTGTGGGAATTACAATTGAGCTTTCTGCTAAAATGATAAGTTTGTAAGAATACAAGTGTCTTTTGCTGCAGTTCAAATTTCTCCTGTGCATGCCGTCTGCTCCTTTGAATGCCTTGTGTGAACCAGCCCTGACCTAAAAAAATCCCTGTAAATGTGGGATTTATGTGGTTTGCTGTAGCATGATGTACTTTCGCTGTAAAACTAGTTGTTTTGATTCATTAAAATTATTTCTTAATAAGTAATTTGATGGATGCAACAAACCCAAACTGTTCATGCCTACTGATACTGTAGCATGAAGTCCCAGTTCTGTTACAATCATGCAAGTTTTATTGGCATTAGAGGAACTCTTAACTGTGATTAGATATAAGATATTGTAATATAATCCATATATTATATCCGTATAATATTATCCATTGAAGTCTCTGTTTACCAAACCAGACAGTTACATACTATAGATGCAGATGACAGACTCAATAATCCCTCTGTAGAACTGTATCAGCAGCTCCTTGGGCAGTTTGAGCATTGATGATGTTACCTAGTTTGGTTAATGAAACATCTTCAAGAAAACAAGCAAGCTCAGAGAGAACCAAGGACCTCTTATTTCAACCCTGAGCTACAAATACTTTATTGGCAACTTTTTGAATTACAGCTCACTTCCAAAGATGATGGAGGATTTAATGAAGATAAGCAGGGTGAGAACTAGGAGGAGGAGGAAGAGGAGTGAAAGTAGGTTAATGAGCACTCCAGTTATTGGAAATATGTTATTTGTATAATCTCATTATGCAAATTGACATAAATTACATCAACATTTGTGTAACTCTTAAATTTTCTATATTGATTTTTTTCTTCTGTTGATATATACAGTATATATGCCCAATTCATAATTATTCTGGGCAGCTTACATCAAATTTAAAATCGAATCAATGCCTCAGATCTTAAAAACAAAACTGCTAGCAGTTCTGGACAATCATTTAGGTCCATAAAATACCCATTAAAAATATCTCTGATTCACTCAACACCAATGTCTGCGGGAACAGCCAAATTTGTGACTTCAGGGTTTCATTCAGATTTGAGTAGAGTAGAATAGATTAGAATTAGAATAGAAATAGAATAGAATAGAATTCTTTATTGGCCAAGTGTGATTGGACACACAAGGAATTTGTCTTGGTGCAAATGCTCTCAGTGTACATAAAAGATACATTCATCGTGTCAAGAATCCTAAGGTACAACGTAATAGTCATAGGGTACAATAAACAATCAAATCATACTAGGAAACATTTTTTATTTATTTTTACAATTCTATTCTAAAAAATAGGAGCAGCCAGACAGTGGCTCTCTGAGGAACACAGCAAAGCAGGACTCCAGGTCTTATATTTTAAATATAATCAATGTTTTTTTATTATTTATAGAGGTCTCCCTATCTAAGAAGAATCAAGCCAAAAAATATCCTTCTTTTGATGGTACTTCCTGGCTGGCTTTCAGTGCACATTATCTGGATTGGAAATATAGCTTGTTTTCTATCTCATTGGCTCATTCTTCCCAAAATACTTTTTACTTCATCAGCCTGTGACCAAATGCTTTTCCTTCAAGCACAGTTAGCTCTCTAATATTCTCATCCGTATTCTTCAGGTGATACTCCCTTTGTCACAGCCTGGCAGAACAAAATGTTTATGTCTACACACTATTCTAATATTGCCTAAAATAAACCTCAGGCAAAGGCAACACACTTCCTGAATACCCAACCCACTTGCTTGATGAAGAGATCCTAGCGATCAACACACACAATCTGGCAATTGGCTTCTCCAACCAGTAACTTTAAAACCACCGCATGCCAAAGATGACCCTGTTCAGACCCTTGCCAGCTGACTCATATTTATGAATTTGCGGTGTCCCAGGGTCATGTGATCACCTTTTGCAACCTTCTGACAAGCGAAGTCAACGGGAAAGCCAGATGGACTTTACAAATGTGTAAACTAACGGCAGTGATTAACTGAACAACTGGGGCAAGAGAGCCTGTAAAATGGGACAAAATTCACTTAATAACTCTCGCTTAGTAACAGAAATTTTGGATAAATGTGTATAGAATTGTATTGGAATACAAAACGAACAGCACTTTTTTCATTATATTGATAAGGATTATTAATTTATCCCAGACAATGAATAGGACTATGTATTTATTTACATTAATGTGCCCAGAAAATTATCAACTTTGGTAGTTGACTGTATAAGAAATTAATTCTGGACACTTATTACCTATAATCAATCAATCTATCTGTATATCTATTTATCTACCATCATCTATCATCTATCTGTATCATCTATATCTATATGTATCTGTATATCTATCATCTATCTGTATCATCTATTTATATCTATATATATCTGTATATCTATCCATCTATCATCT